GTTTTTAATGAAGAGAAATATATTGGCTGAAGAGGCCTCCGTGAAGAGCAAGGGGGTTCTATTCCACACCAAACCCATCAGTCCAAGATTTCAGGGCAGGAAGAAATTCCCATAACTTAGACTGTAACAACCAACAGGCAGTGTGGCTGAGTGACATGGAGGCCGATAGAGTATCAGACAGTCCCTTTTAAAGAGGCATGCATGCCGGGACCAGTTTGGCTCAGTGGATAGAGCGTCGGCCTGCAGACTGAAAGGTCCCAGGTTTGATTCCGGTCAAGGGCATGTGCCTTGATTGTGGGCACATCCCCAGTAGGGGGTGTGCAAGAGGCAGCTGATCGATGATTCTCTCTCATCAATGTTTCTAACTCTCTATCCCTCTCTCTTCCTCTCTGTGAAAAATCAATAAAATATATTAAAAAAATAATAATAAAGAGGCATCCATGGACTTACTCAGACTCACTCTCTCTGAGCTCCAGCCCTGGGGCAGCAGCATGAAAGGGACATACCAGGAGAAATGGTTTTTGCCTGGGTGGAAGGCAGTTGCCCCACCCTATTGGAAAACTCTTTGCTGCATCCTGTGATGTTTCTGAAGCCCATTAAGAGACTGAAAATAACAATCAACCTCCAGGAAGAAACAACTGACCCACCCTGTTAAAAAAATCTCTGCTACCTCATAGGGATATAGCCTGAGGCTACTCAAGGCTGAATACAATCAGTCTGCAGTCAGAGGATGGTCTCTGGAGGCTTAGAGTCTCTGTATAATCTAATTAGTCAGAAACAGCATTTGACACTGACTTGCACTAGAGATTGGGAAGCATAGCAGATCTACCTAATACAGGAAGCCAAAATGGGGAGACATAAAAACCAACCTCCAAATGAAAGAACAAGAGAATTCTCCAGAAGAGATAAATGAAATGGAGATAAGAAATTTATCAGACATAAAGTTCAGAATAATGATGGTAAAGATGCTCAAAGGCAAGAAAAAAAGATATAATAACTATGAAAAATGACAGAGCCCTAATAAAGAACACAGTGGAAGGAATACACAGAAGATTAGGAAAAGTTGAGGATCAGATAAGTGAATTAGAAAACAGAGGGGAGGGGGGAATCACTTAATCAAAGAACCAAAAAGAAAAAGAAAAAATTGAAAAAACAGGAAGACAGCTTAAAGAAGTTGTGGGACAACATAAAATGTAACAATCCTATATAACACAAACCCAGTGACAGAATGGCAGAATGACCAATCGACCAGTCACTATGATGCACACTGATCACAAGAGGGAAGACTCAACGCAAGAGCTGCCCCTTGGTGTTCAGTGCCCTACCACAGTGGGAGGGCTGCTTGGATAACCAGGATGAGTGGCTGCTCCTGCTACACACCCCAGGCTGATGGGCAGGAACCTAGGCTGCCATCCTTGCCTCTTTACCCTGGGCTCCTCTTCCTCACTCCCTGCCACCTCCTCCAAACCATGCAGTACCACCACTGGGCTCACAGAGCTGATCCTGGAGGCTGCGAGATGGTTCATGGCCACCGCCCTTGGGACTGAGGTCTACTCCGCCGCCTCTCAGTGCTATTGTCCCTGGGCCTGCCCCGAACAGGTCCCTGGAGAGGTGAGTTCTCTAGCTCTGCAGAAGATGCAGGGCCAGGGAGTAGTCACTCAGAGGGCAGGTCCACAGCTGTTTGGCAGAGCAGGATTAGTGGTGCTCCCACAGCTGGCTGATCCTTGCAGGTTATGCTCCCCACCAGTGCATTAATCTTGTGCACCGGACCCCTAGTATCCACAAAATTAGGGTGACGGAAGGAGATGAGCAAGGGATAGAGAACGTGGTTAAAGAAATAATGGCAGAAAACTTCCCTAACTAGGTGAAGGGAAAAGTCACACAAGTATAGGAGGCAAGGAGAATCCCAAGCAAAAAGAAGACAAACAGGTTTACCCATGCCAGGACATGTCACAATTAAAATGACAAAAATTAAAGACAAAGAGAGACTCTTAAAGGCAGGAAAAAAAAAAATTACCTTCAAAAGAACTCCCATAAGGCTGTCAACTGATCTCTCATTAGAAACTTTACAAGCCAGATGGAATGGCCTTAAGTATTCAAAGTAATGAGAAGCAGGAATCTGAAACCAAGATGACTATATCCAGCAAGGAAATGATTGAAAATAGATGGTGAACTAAAGAGCTTCCCAGAAACAAAAAAGGCTGAAGGAGTTTATAATCATATAACTAACACTGCAAGAAAAGCTAAAGGGATTGCTATCATGAGAAGAAGAGAGAGAAACATAGGTAAACAGAATTAAAATGGCAATAAATAAATACTTACTCATAATAACCTCAAATGTAAAATGAATTAAATGTAAAATGGATTAAATGCTCTAATCAAAAGACATAGTGTAGCTGAATGGATACAAAAACACAACCCAATTATATGCTACCTACAAGAGACCCACTTCAGAACAATAGACACACACAGGACGAGAGTGAAGGGATAGAAAAAAAATCTTCTATGCAAATGGAAAAGAAATAAAAGCTGGAATAGCAATATCATATCCAACAAAATAAACTTCAAAATGAAAGCCATCACAAGAAACAACAAAGGTCACTATGTAATACTAAAGGGATCAATACAACAAGAGGATATAACCCAATATAGGAGCACTTAAATATATATATATATATATATATATATATATATATATATATATATATATAAAACTTCTAGAGAGCTTTAAGGGAGGGATCAACAACAACACAGTCAGAGTAGGGGATTTTAATACCCCACTGACTTCACTGGATAGATCTTCCAGACAAAAAATTGACAAGAAAATAGTGACTTTAAAGGATACCCTAGATCAGATGGATTTAGTTGACATTTATAAAACATCATTCCAAAGCTCCAGGATATACATTCTTCTCAAATGCACATGGATCATTCACAAAGAGAGACCATATGTTAGGACACAAAACAAGTTTCTACAAGTTCAAGATTAAAATCATATCAAGCATTTTCTCAAATCATAATGCCATGAAATTAGAAATCAACTACATTAAAACACTCGAAAACATTCAAACACATGGAAGCTAAACACATGTCATTAAACAATGAATGGGTAACCAAGAGATCAAGAAATAAATGAGTAACCAAGAGATCAAGAAATAAATAAGAAAACTTCCTGGAAACAAATAAAAATTGCTATTTCCCAAAATCTCTGGGAAATAGCAAAGGCAGTTTTAAGAGGAAAGTTCATAATACTACATGCATATCTAAAACAAACAAACAAACCAAAAAAAAAAACAAGAAAAGTTAATAATAAACTATTTACTCTATAACTTAAAGAATTAGAAAGAGAACAAAATCCAAGAGTGAGTAGAAGGAAAGAAATAACAAAGATTAGAGAAGAAGTAAATAACATAGAGACAGAAAGAAAAAAAAAATCAATGAAACCAAGAGCTGGTTCTTTGAAAAGATAAGATCGATTAATCATTAGCCAGACTCATCAAAAAACAAAGAGAGATGACCCAAATATATAAACTCAAAAATGAAAGCAGAGAAGTAACAACTTATACCACAGAAATAAAAAGGATTATAAGAAAATACTGTGAACAAACAACTATATGCCAACAAGTTGGATGACGTGGATGAAATTGACAAATTCCTACAAAAATACAATCTCCCAAAACTCAATCAGGAAGAATCAGAAAACCTGAATAGAACAACAACAGAGTATATACCAGTAGTAATAAAAATAAAAAAAAAATCCTCCCAGAAAACAAAAGCCCAGGTCCAGACAGCTTCACAGAGGAGTTTTACATTCAAAGAAGAGCTAACACATATCCTCTTCAAATGATTCAAAATTATTCAAAGAGGAAGGAACACTTCCAATTTCTTTTTAAGAGGTCAGCATTATCCTAATTCCAAAACCAGATAAAGACACTACAAAGAAAGAGAATTTCAGGCCAATATCTCTGATAAACATAGAGGCTAAAGTTCTCAACCAAACATTAACAAATTAAGGCCAAGAGATATTTTAGGTCCTCCTGGCTTGCTCCTTACCCCATAGGGTTATCTTCAGTCCATTTTTAAAAAAATATATATTTTATTGATTTTTCAGAGAGAGGAAGGGAGAGGGCTAGATAGCTAGAAACATCAATGAGAGAATCATCGACCAGCTGCCTCCTGTACACCCCCTTACCGGGGATGTGCCCACAACCAAGGTACATGCCCTTGACCAGAATCAAACTTGGGACCTTTCAGTCTGCAGACCGACGCTCTATCTACTGAGCCAAACCGGTTTCGGCTTCAGCCCTTTTTCTGAAGTCCATTTTAAGGGCAATACAGAATTTCCACCCAATATTATGTTTATTCACTGATCAATTTTCTAGATAAAGTAAATGTATACAGTGAATTTTCTTCTTTAAAACAAATTTACAGTTATATTTTTTTTAAGCTGTAGTAAATTATATCCATCATCTTATTCTGTGACTACAGGATAGAATAAAAGTAGTTTTACAGTTGTAAGTACAGAAAACAGTTTGTTTTTGTATTATTATTTATCAATATTATAATATTTTCCATATGAGCAAATGTAAACCTACTTTTGCTACACCCTGTATGTACACTTTCTTCCCTATAAGTCTGTTCCCTACAATTGCTTTCATTTATTATTCATTTTTAATTCAGAATAATTATTTAAATATACTTTTAAAATTTTTAAACTTTATTTTTAAACTTTTAAAGTTTAAAATTTTTAAACTTTTGTAGAATATTTCTACAAAAGACCCATTTTCCTTAATATTTGTGCGTGTGTTTTAAATATACCTCTGAGGTTATTGGCATTGCAGAACAGCCTTTGAAGTACAAAGGCCATTTAGGGTTTTAATTTACACCTTTTTTAATCTCTTCTTATCAAAACCACGGTACTTTGAAAAACTAACAAAAATTATACTATGGACCAAAAGTCATGGGCTTCAAGTGAATGAGTTCCAAAGAGAGAGCCTTGCCTTGTCATCTCTCCCTCTTGCTCTATAATCCTTGTCCCTACTTGTAGAAGGCTTCTCACTCTTTGATATAGGATGTGCTCGACCTACAGGTCCCCGGGCTCCTGCTCCTGGCATTTCTTTCCTCAGAGGTTTTACTTCTCGATTAGGACGCCTTATCTGAGGTGGAGCTCTGACAAAAAATAAATAAAATAAAAGTTAGTCAAAGGCAAAAGTATTTCAGTACTACCTTAGTCAATAAAACTATTAAATCAAGAAGGACAAAATCTCAAATTTTCTCCTGTTTGTCAAGTAGGTCATTTTCTAAAAGTGCTTTTCTTTAAAATGCACTGGTTGATACAATTATTAAATACATATAAATAAAATCTATAGCAGCAATTATTTTGCCAAAAATAAATATCAATCACCAACAGATGGCAATACAGACTAATCTCATCTAATAATCTTAATAAAGAAAATCTATTACTTTATTCATTACTGTCCTAAACCAAGAATAAGTAACATAAAAAAAAAAAAAGCTGAAAGGAAAAGAATTCAAAAATGCGCCTATTTGCAGTTTACTAATTTATTTAATTTTTTAAAACTATACTTTTATTGATTTCAGAGAGAAAGGCAGGGAGACAGAAACATCAGATATGTGAGAGAATCACTGATTGGTTGCCACCTGCATGATCCCCACACCGAGCCCACAATCTGGACATGTGCCCAGGCTGAGAATCAGACCAGGACCTCCTGGTTCATAAGTCAATGCTCAACCAAATGAGATACACTGGCTGATCTACTAATTTAGTTATTACAACAAAATGATTTTCCCTTATTCTGTATTGGAAAATTCAATATTTCTTTCATAAATTACGAATGGCAGAACTCAAAAATCAAATCTCATAAAGTAATTTATATTTTTAAACATTATTCACATTTCTGGAGGGTCAAAAACCATAGGATCCTTCAGATTATACAAGTCCCCAAATATAAATCAAGGATTTTTATAACTATGAATGTGATGGATGTTAATGAAACTTACTGTGATCATTTTGCAATATAAATACTGCAAATCATTATGTTGTACAACTGAAGCCAATATAAGTTAATGTCAATTATATTTCATTTTTTAAGAACATAATTTTGATAGCTATATAAATGTAACAATGCACATAAAGTGGCATATTTTGTTTCATGTAATATGAAACAAATTATGTGAAACATGTCTTCTTCAAATAGCAAAATGTTGACATTACTAGAACAGTATTTACTGCTCTCTCTGGATGTTGTGGGGGCTTTGTCATATGTGTGTAATCTCTTACTTCTTTTTTGTATTGTCTCTGCCTCTATTTCCCTACCTTTTCTATCTATAGTTCTGCCTGTACTGGTGTAGCCCTTCAGATTCTATATGTGTATTCCTTTTTCACCAATATACTATATCTACTATTATTCCCTTTCCAGCTTCATGTTTTTAATTCATCTAACTCATTGTGGAGCATCTCTTCCTGGATTCAGAAAAAGTGGCACATGTATGTGTATATAACTCAATGAACCCAGCAAAACAGGAAAATGGATGAAAAGACAGGTAGGTGGCAAACTTCAAGAAAAAAAAAAAAAGGTAAAAGAAATGGCAACATCTCATCTTGCAGATCTAACAGTATCTTCATCTTGTTGGAATTAGAGGACTACATGAACCTGTTAAGGATAGAGAGGATGGTGGAAACTGGCTATTAGGTTCCCACACGACGACAGCTGAAGCCCTTGAAGTTCAGTCAAATGATTGTGTATTGAACATCCATGAGGAAGCAAGTGGCCTTTGCTGTGCTAGACCCTTGGCAGAGACAAAGATGAATATACAATCGTGTAAAAGAAATCCATAAAGAAGAAAACTGGGAGATGGTATACAGTAAACTGGTTATAATACATTTTCAAATTTAGGTATTCTATATTATTTGTTCTAGTACATTATTAGTATTGTAAGTATTCTGCCAATAAAAGAAAAATGTGTTGAGACTGGTAAAGAATAGAAAATTAAAAATGTTACATTGCTCTATATTTTACTTATTTCTTTACTATCCCTCACCTAGGGATATATTTATTGCTTTTAGTGAGAGGAGGGGACAGGGAGAGAAGGGAGAGTCAAAAAGAGAGAGAGAGAGAGAGAGAGAGAGAGAGAGAGAGAGAGAGAGAGAGAGAGAGAAGTGAGAAACATTGATTGGTTGCCTCGCAAATGTCCCCCAACCGGAGCTCAAACCTGCAACCTAGATAATATGCTTTGACCAGGAATCGAACCCACAACCTTTTTGGTGTATGGGAAAATGCTCTAACCAACTAAATCAACAGGCTGGGACGGTTGTTCTATTCTTAGTATTTCATTGTGACCACTGTTTCCTAACTGAAGTTTGTTTTCATGAAGGGCAGATTATCCTATATAGAAAAAGGCTAATATGCAAATTGTCCCCTTGGGAGTTTGACCAACTAGGATGACCACTCGCTATAATATGCGCTGGCCACCAGGAGGTGGCACATAACAAAGGAAGGCCCTGGTCGGCAGCTGGCAACCAGCAGCCAGGGTAAGGAAGGCCCCGATCAGCCCTGATTGCTGGCCAGGCTTAGGGATCCTAGCCATGCATGAATTTCATGCAGTGGGCTTCTAGTCTATATTTAAAAAAAAAAAAAAAAGTGGCCCTAATGCCCCAACGACTGGCCATCAGGAGGCTGCGCGAGCAGTGAGGCATTTGCGGATGGGTGGGCTGCATGCATGGTGAAGCACGTGCAGGTGGGCTGGGACTTGACTCTGGGTCCTGTGGTGGTGCAGCGGGGTCTGGGGTCCCGGGTCTCGCGCAATTTCCTGCAGGTCTGGATCTCACAATTTCACGCACTGGATCACTAGTTTATATATATTTTCAAATGTATAAATGCCTTTCCAGAACCCAATTCATGGGTCTGGCCAAGGACAATGAGGAAACCATCCCCTCCACACAGAACACATAGCTAATTTGCTCTATCAGCAACCAGACCCCTGTTAAACAGTCTCATTGTTTAGGGTCCTGCTCTTCAGACTCACAGCCAGTCTGAAGCCCAGCCACTTGGCTGCATCCTCCCTCAGGGGTGATGGTAGTGGATCCTGAAGCATGGCCACCCCCTCTCTAGACCATGTTCCCCCTTGGCGTGTTCTATTAGGGTACACCCACTACAGGCTCAGGGAGGCTGTGTTGTCCAAGTTTTGTGCCCAGGCTGCATGCCCAGGGTTTGCAGCTGCTGACCTGCCCTGCCATTCAATATTCTCATGGGCTCATGCACAGTCTGAGTGAAACTGCTCAAGAAGCCACATGTACCATGTGTGGCCAGTCCCCTGTCTCACAGAAAGTGGCCTGTGTCTGGTGAGTCTTCAGTTCCATCTCACTGCAGCTGGGTGTTACACTTTTAACAGACTGTTGATTCTGTTTTGTACTTCCCCTCCAGGAACACACTACTGTATAATGTCATGCTTCAAATTGAGGACTCAGTGACGGCTGTGAAACACATAAGTCTCAAGGCCTCTTTTAGTGGTTTCTATTTAAAGAGACTTTAGTATGATTACAGAACATCATCTTTGCCTGAATGGTCAAACAAAGACTGACACTGTACCAGCTTACACTATTTCAATATAGAGAATAACTCCTACTAGTAAATCTGCAGAAAAAAAGACTAAGCACATTGTTTACACTGTGCTTAGTTCTCCTACTTGAGGATATTTCCTTGTAAGAATAGGAAAAAATATGCCCTATCCTATCATAAGCGTGATTTCCTCAAAAATCCAATACTCTTCTTAAGCTGTACAATTAAATGTCAATATTATAGGTAAATGTTCTTATCAGCATTGCTTGTATTAACAAGCACCTGGAAACAACCCAAATGTCCAGTATCAGAATAGATACATAAATTACTGCATATTCACATAATGGGATCCTATGTTCACACAAACATGTATTAGAGCTACACACAATAACAGAGCACGAATCTTAGGACTATAACATTGAGTGAAAATGTAGGTTCAAAGAACACGCAGTGTATTTCCAAGTAAAACAGGACACTGTTTGGGATATAAATATACATATTAAAGTATAAAGAAAGGCAAGGGAATGATAAACCCCAAATTCACAGAAGTGTCCAATTGTGAAAAGGGAGGGAAGAAATAGGATGCAGAGGAGCCATAGGGGGGCTTCAAAGGTATATCAGCAAAGTCCTTTAACTTAAACGCCGTGGTGAGTGTGTAGATGCTACTGTGTTGTGAATCCTTATTCCTTACATACATTGTAATTGTTCATATTATCTATTGAGGAGTTAATAAAACTGAAGAATTATTATGCTACAACACGAATTAAGACATCAGAGCAGCATGTTGAAGTGATGTGGGCTCAGAGGACCCAGCCTCAGTTGAACCTATTGCACCACCATCTGGCAAATCTCCAGAAATAGAACTATCTCTTAGCACCGCCCACCACAATTCCTGAAGTCAAAGCTAAATGGATCTTTGTGAAGATGTCTTCATTCTACGCCATGTTAATAAATAGGTCTTTGCTGGCCAGTTTAACTCATTGGTTAGAGCATTGGCCTCGAATCAAAGGCTTGAGGTTTTGATTCCGAGTCAAGGGCATATACCTTAGTTGCAGGTTCAATCCTGGGTCCCTGGTGAGCAAGAGGGAGGCAACCAATCGATGTCTTTTTTCTCTCTTTCTTTCACTCTTCCTCTCTTCTCTCTCTCTTTCCCTCCCGCTCCTTCCTTCCACTCTCTCTAAAAATCTATGGGGAAAATATATTCACTTCTCCTTCCCTCCCTCTCCCTTTATCTCTAAAAAATCAATTTTTAAAAAATGTTGTACACACTATTCCTACTTTTACAGAGAAAGAGCATGGAGACCTGGAGTCAGCATTAGATTTATAAACCTTAGACCTGGGTGACTTTTTACTCTCAGGGCACCAATTACCTACTACACAAGCATACTATTATATATCATCTACAATTTACTAGGCTCAGATCCATAAGAAGAGTCTCTATCAATGCCAGCTATAGCCTTACAAAATGCAAACTCGGTAAATGGAGATATTTCATAATATTAAAAACTTTTTTTCTTACATCATCTGTATATTGTATTGTGTGTTCACCACCCTAAGTCAAGTCTCCTTTTATCACCATTTATTCCCCCT